CTCGACGAGCGTGTCTAAGAGAAGGATTGAATGATTTGAAGCCTGTAATTTTAAGTCGAGATCAAATGGTGTTGATAATTTTGTCAACAATCCCATTTTTAGTTGCCTTAGCTAATTAGTACTTGAAGTCTTCAGCAGACCCCATTTCTTAAATAAGCGAGTAACCATTAAACGGGTCCAAAGTTAAATCTACTTTTTTTGCGGCCACCTTTATCGCGTTTTATTTTCTGGGAGTCCTTTTCAGCTACTTCCATTAGTCCTTAGAGGCTAATTCTATGACATCGAAATTAAAACAGAGTTTTGGCACAAAAATTTATGGGTTCTTTTGGAGTGCGCCACTGTTGTAGTGTGGCCAGTGCGCTCTAACGAGTAGTCTTGCGAAGAATCACATGCTTCAAAAATTGAAATCAATGGCGCCTTTATAAGGTTGCGGTTGCTGAATTTCTTAATTGTTCTGAGGGTGCTGGAAGAGCTAATATTTGTGAGGTTGCTGATGCTGTTGATGTCGGGGTTCCTGATGAGGTTTCAACGACTGATGATGTTTCTAACTGTGCTGAGGGCGGTGTCAATTTGTTCTGATAGTTTATAATACTAAAAAGTGAATATTCGGGTAGCATTGTTGCCGAAAAGAAAAACTTGACCAGGCTACCCTTTTTTCGTTCCACGGTTTTTCCTTGAAGCCCCGTAGAAATAACATCTGCTTAATCATTGCTGCTACTGCAATCGAATGACTGCGTTGCCGTGGTACTGCTTTTCTTCGTACAAGATCGTCAACTTCCAATGTAGTTTCATTGACAATTTCTGAAACTAGTCTTTGCACTGTTCGATAATTGTTTGCCAATTCTTTTCCTGCTATTTTGTCAAGAATTTTGGCGTCTACAAACTTTCGGTCATAATCTGATGCTATTGAAGAGCAATTCCACGATTGTTTCTCCATACTTTTCTCGAACATCGAACAGTCGTTTGTCATATCGGGCGAGCCATCCCTTTGCATGTCGATTCGTACGCGTCGGTTTAGGCGTCCCAATTCTTATGTCGGTTATTTGTCGGTCAGTTCGTATGTCGGTTTCTTTGTCGAGTCGTATGTCGATTTATAGATCGCTTTGTGTCGATTCATGTCAATTTGTTTGTCGGAATTGCTCGTCGGAAACTGAATTCGGAAGCAAGTTGATGTGATGAATGAATGTAAAAGATGTTATTTAAGTTATCCACATCCGTAGTTACCAATTTGCTTATTCGGAAAACTAATTGTTGATAAAATATGGTGTAATTTTTAAGCTAAATTGGCCTAACTTGGCCAAGTTTGGCCAAACTTGGTTTAAACTTCATAGCCAGAGGATGGACTTCATAGCCAACTATAACCATTAATTGTATCGCAATTTTTTCAGGCCGTCAACTAAAAGAGTCACGAATTGTTTCTTGAGTTTTTTTTCCATTGCTGATTAATTGATTTTTAAGTCTTAAATTTCATAATCCGTGATTATCGTACCCTCCTCAAATGGTAAGTTATGTTGATCGGAGGAAATCAATAACTCTCTAAATACCCAGTTTAACTACCTTGTAATTATATCCTAAGTGAAAAGAGGGTGGGGCAGTGGAAACTGGAAAACATGAAATGATGAGTGTCTTTTTTATGTTGTATGGCCAAACATTATGTTTAACCCTCTAAAACACTGACAACTTTTTTTCCAGTAAACAAATCGCAATTTTTATGATAGTTTCTCAATTGCATGTGTAACACCGCCGCTGTGTCTGTTAGCCCATCCCAACGACGCAAAAACTCCTTTCAGTTTTGAAATATATCAAATACTGATATGAGTGGAAAGGCGCCATTTAGTCTAATAGCCCATCCCAAATACAGACATAGTTTATATCTTAATTCAAATTTATATCGTAATAAAATTGATGTCCCGCATTGCACAATCCATTTCACAACTGTAGTTCGCATCTCACAATTGAGATACCGGTTTAATATCCTGAAGGGTATATTCACAAATTTGATAGGGAAAAGGTTCCAAGATTTGATCCTGGACTCCAATATGACAAAGCTTAAGAATTTGCATATTCCACTAAAGTTTATCGGCTCTTGTTCTTTTACCCCACCTCTCATTTGAATCAGTTTCTTGTTGTAAAGAGGACTTGGCTTTTGTAACGTGGGCTAATGATGTCATAGCTCAATTATAGTCTGCATACCAACTTTTGTGATCAAATCAATAATGTGAAAAAAGTTTTACTGCTAAGTTTTTGCTGGTGGGGTGAATAGGAAAAAAGCCTATTTTTGGTAGTTGTTTTTCTAATACTATTTTTTTTCGTTTCGGAAGGCGGCCTACATTGTTTGCATAAAAGCAACGTGGTCTGCCATTTTGCTGAAACGCAATGCAAAAAAAGGGAGGCAAAACTGAAAAATTGACCTGTATGATCTTTGGCACGGAGGGCTTCAGCATTGCTGCGAGAGAATGAGAGCCAATTGAAGATTTGGGCTTAAATGAAAGCTGCTCTCTCCCACCAGGAAAAATTATAGCATTGTGCGGGACACTTATGAGGGTTGCCAATCACCATTCAGAGCGAAGCAGATCAGGGCTAATTTGATCTGTGAGGATGAAATCGGCGATGATCAGAGTGAGTGAAGATGTGAGCTTCTTAAATAAGCTACAAACCCATCGATATCTTTTGATTTCGTATTGAAACTGTTTATAGCACTATGCCAAATATTTCAGTCCAGATCCGCGCAACTGGAAAGTATAACGACAAGGAAGAAAAGGCAGCTGACGATACGGTCTACCGTAAAAATGCCAAGACCGAGACGACGAGCAAGACGACCTGGAACAAAATGAGCCATGCAGAAATGGGCATGATGTGACGACCCTCTGGTGCAAGTAGGAACCTAACGAGCAGGCTGCGACGACCTGGTACAAGCAGGAACAAATGACGACAAATATGTGCAAAAAAAGCCGAAGGATGATGAATCCGTATTGGACATTTCAATTGTATGTAACAAAAACGCCGTATTCTTTTTGCTAATTTTCTAAGTATAATTGTCCACCCACCAGATTCAAATTAAATCAACATCACTGAATAACTGCGACTTCTCCAAGGCTAGTGCTCCAATAACCCTTGGAACAAACCTCTGAAGTTACCGGGCAGTTGCACATCGATGCGTCAGCTGCGCCAATTAGGATGTTACCACTTCCTGAGGTAGCGAATTGACCGTGTATGAGCCCAGATCGATTTCCTCTCGTACCAGAGTTCATTTCGCTATTTCTTCTACCCAGCTCTTTTTCGCTCCTTCATCTGTTTGACGCAGATCTGAGGACAGATCAACGACTTCCTCTTGTACGGATAAAGAAACCAAAAGCTCTCGGAAAAAAATAGCAGAGTTTTGCCCTAGTTTCAGGCAGCTCTCGTGGCACGAGTGCCAGTCAGTTTGACATTTTACCTCCAACTAACTAAGGCAAACTGAGAGAGACACTTTCACAAGTAAGCATCAGAACCTAAAATTAGCTCAAAGTCAATATAATTAAATTTCGATCATCTTTCCCTGTTTTTTTTTAGATCATGCCTGCCTCAAGTCTAATACAGTGCGTAACTGCGGTCGATTTTGTCAAATGGATCCATTCAGACTAGTTTATTAACTAACATGGAGCCTTGTTCGTTCCATCGGCTAAATCCATCAAGGGTTTCAGAAGCCAAGTAACGGCCTGCGGATTGTTGCCAGTCTCACAGCCGAATGTATGGGGACATTTTCATTGAGGAAATTTTGAAGAAAAACCCCGAGGAATTCAGAACTAGAGCTTAAAAGAAAATGTAATCAGTTTGTAAAGTAATTAGACGCCATTTAGTCACCGAGTGGTCCAGTTTTCAAATAAGTTTAACCTCACATTTGTGTTCAAGCTTAGGAATATATACGATCAGTTAGGCCAGCTGATGTTCAAAAATTTTTTGGATTAATGCTGCTAATGTTAGGGAATATCATTGATGCTGATGATTCCATTTGGACGGCCACGAAATTCTCCCTCCCAAAAGCAGTCAAGGAAACATCGTTGGTACACATACATAAAAGGAAGTTGGAGAAGATAAAAGTAACGACGAAGAAGTTAAGCTACTTGGTTTTATTGCAGGTTGGTGCAGAAAAACCATTTCAATCGAATTTTTTTGGTAGATCTGTTATGTAAATTTTAGTGAAAGGTTGAACAAAGTTTCTTTGTACAATTTTTTCATTGAAATATAAAAATCTGTTTCT